CCAGGAAGCAAGTTTCCAGGGTGTCCATGTCGACATACAATCGTAGTGCGCGAGAAATTGGAACAAGTATCAACTCATGTACTATTTACGGAATGTGTGGCTTGTGAGCTGTTCGGAAACGGGGGACGATGGAAGACGAATAGAATCACAGCATTTTGCTCGTTTGCTTCTCTGGTGTTTTTCTTTGCGAACAGGTCCGAGAGCTGCTTGAAATCGAAATAACGCTACCTAGACAGATGTACCCGGAAACGACAAGAAGAGCAAACCGGCAAGCTGTTCTGACAGCGCATTTCCATCTGACACTTAGGTAGGTGAGTGAAATCCATGCACTGTCGGCGACAAGAATGAGTCAAACACCGCAAATGGTTCAGTGGGACACACTCTCTGGTGGGGAGGTCTCTTGAATCTCTCCCGAACATCCAAACTAATCATCAACACGATATTCGGGCGGGGAAATGTTCGCCCCACGTCCGTATTCTCAGTACCGACATACTTCCTGGTGCTGCTAATGCCGTGGAGCCACGGAGAATGAAAATCTGAATGTCTCGGGATTCAGTTTGCAACACATTATGCCGGAGCACAACGCCTTGCGACTCGCAGAAGGAAGGGCTTGTGAGTTATCGACGGCAACATACAAGGTGTCATTTAACTTCAAAAATATTTGGAGCATCTTCTGGGTGATGTGGCCCTTCTTGCGGTGTTCGAAAATGGGAGGCGTTGCAAGACGAAAGAACCACAATAGGTCGTCATTTGCTGCTCTGTGGTATTCTTAACGAACACATCACGGCCCTTCGAACAGATGTCACCGGCAACGGTCAGAAGGAACAAACGGTAAACTTCTCCGACAGCACGGGTGCGTCTGCGCTTCTATGGGTGGCAACTCATTCATGATGGGCAACAAATGAGACTGACATTTCGTGCAATTGGTCACGGGGGACCCCCCCCAAACGAGAAAACAAAAAANTCAGAAGGAACAAACGGTAAACTTCTCCGACAGCACGGGTGCGTCTGCGCTTCTATGGGTGGCAACTCATTCATGATGGGCAACAAATGAGACTGACATTTCGTGCAATTGGTCACGGGGGACCCCCCCCAAACGAGAAAACAAAAAAATGCTCCAGCGGGGAGATG